ATTGGCCAAGAGCCAAACCAAAATCCAAAAGAGAATTGCAAGAGATTAGTTATGTTGATGTTAGCAACATGGGAATTAGGGAATCACCTTTTGATTTACATCAGTGTTTTATTTACTGTATCTATATTTTTTCAGTTGATAGTTATCAATAAAATCACTGTCACTGCTCRGCTTATTGAAGCTTGTTCTCCTAAATTTATGTTTATAAAAAAATATTCTGCATTCAACCTCCTGAGATCTGCATCCTAATGTTGAGAGCATTAGTTTTAGACCAGTTATCATTATTGCCACAGACTGTAGAATCTCTTAAAAAAATGATTAAAACTCTTCTGTTTTGTTGTTTTTATGGTTCTAACTGATTCAAATGATTTTTAGTTATTTATTWTTATTGTTTTTATGACTTTTGAGATGTGCCCTATACTCAGAATTAACCCTCTATTATTATTCATGAAGAGTGGATGTTAAGCTTTTTTTAATTTGAATGAAAATATATGTTTATATTTTCACTTCCTACTTCCTCAAATACAATATTTTTTTTTATTTATGAGGTTCTACTAATCCTAAATAATAGGGCAACTTAAAAAGGGACATAAAAGCTGTCTTGCTGGGGGGGGGGGGTACTAATTGTTTTTAGGGTTGTTTGTGCACCCCCATGGCCCCCTCTTGATGGTGCCCCTGGMTTTCTGTTTTTCTGCTCTTTTAGGCAGCTCGTAAGGCTGTACAGGACACCACCCTGCAGGAGGCAGCAGCTGGGGTTGCTGTGGTGGGACGAGTCCAAATGAAGACCAGGAAAACTCTACGGGGCCACCTCGCCAAGATCTACGCCATGCACTGGGCCACTGATTCAAAGTAAACACACAAAACACGAGAGGATACCAAATGTTCAGCGCCACAGATACATTTTGACGTTTTAACAAACTTGTATATATATCGAGATTTGAAAAACACATTTTTTGTATATAATAATTCTTAAACTGACATGTTTCTTTATTTTCTTTGTCTTTAAATCTCAAACGACACCTTCAGATTGTGCGTCAGCGCCTCACAAGATGGAAAACTCATCGTGTGGGACAGTGTCACAACCAACAAGGTTAATTAAACATTTTAAATATCAAATCTGAACCTTGTCTTAATGTGACAAAACTGATGATGTGCATCTATCTTCAAACACACCAAACTTTGACTCAGCAAACACAATAKGTGAAAAACACGTGTGAATGTTTGTCAAGCATTTAATCTTTTATTTCAGTACATTTTTACCTAGATTCTTCCYTTTTTCTTCAAGTTTAGTCAAAAATAATTTTCAAAACAGAGATTTTGAGGTATCTTATTGCAAAGAAACTTTCTTGAATAYATAGCCTGGCACATTAACAACATCTATCTGCTTTTGTTGCTTCTTTTTGTAAAAATACTTAAATGAGCGAATGTTTGTTTATTACGCCATTACATATTCACTTCATGAGTTTATGGGCTTTTATTAGTTTTCATAGTTTTTGCAAGATACTTTATCACAGAACTTGCAGAATGTGTACGTACACATTTAATCCAGGTTTTTAAATGAAAGTTTGAAATCAAACATAAAGAAGGTTATAATGAAATAGATCAAATGGTGCAGTTTGAAATRGTTTATTCCAGTAATTTTCCAGATGTAAATCTGAAATACAAACACTGTACATTTATACTGTATGCATATTTTTCTGAACAAATCTGAAATACAAACCAAAATGCATCAAAATTAGCAGAATTCTCAATCCCAAAAAGGTTTTCCTTGGACCTCTGTTTAGTCATTTCAACTGTAACCGTGCGTGGTATTTGGCAGTTGTTCACAAATTTAGCTTTTCAATTTAAAGTGCATCAAATTTTTGTAATYCATTTTTCAAGAGTTAACACTGATAACATATCGCAACAAAAAAAAATTATGCTGCTGAGATGAACAGTTGTTCAGATATTCACATGTGAATTAACAGGAAGTGATGTCAAAGGGGAATAACTGCATGTAAATAGAACATTGCTACAATGGTTAACAGACTGTAGTGAAGAATCTGATGTTTCTTTAGATTATTTGAGTCACTATCAGAGAGATGAAGAAGAGTCAAAGTTCAAATAATAATGTTTCAGTAAAAAAAATGATCAGAGTTTTCTAAGTCTTCCCCTTTGATGTCACTTCCTGTTTCACTTTGGCTGAGTCCAGTTCAAAAGAAAATATACCAATTATGTGACAAACTGTGTAAATTCGTGTGTATTTTTCCAAGTTTCCTAAATATAAAGATGTTTTCTTTGACTTTTTGTACGTATTTGAAGGATGCGCATATCACAGGCACTTTAGAACACATTAGTTGAGGAAAAAATGTCCAGATTTTGTTTCTTACTTCATAAAATGTTGTTTGACTTTGATTTAAAGACACATTTACCTGTCCGCTGCGTGTGTCCAGGTGAATGCCATCCCCCTGAAGTCATCCTGGGTGATGACTTGTGCCTACGCACCTTCAGGRAACCTGGTTGCCTGTGGGGGTCTGGACAACATGTGCTCCATCTACAACCTGAAGGGCAAGGATGGGAATGTCAAGGTGATGCGTGAGCTGGCTGCACACACAGGTGGGACACCGTCTTTTCATTTTATTTCTCTCACTTCACTTTTTGTGTTGTTTTTTTTTTTAGATGGCTGATTTTGTTTGTCTTTGGCTGCGTAGGTTACCTGTCCTGCTGTCGTTTCATCAGTGACACTGAGATCATCACCAGCTCTGGCGACTGCACTTGGTAAGAAAACCTTCTGGTCAGTCATGCTGCTTGTGAGAAGGGGGTCTCTGCTGTCACRAGGTGGGAGGTTCTTGGTGTGTTGGCGGGGTTTGTGAAAGACATAATTGGTCAGATTGATTATTTTGGGTGGGGTTTGAAGAAGCAGCTGGGGGGACACGTTGAARCAGCCACATTAATTATAGTTTAATTTTAACCTGAGACAGAAAKTTGCTAATCGCACCAAATTTGAGGTCAATAAATTACATTTACATGTTCACAATAATTTTACTATTATCATTACTTCATTTTTTTTTTTTTACTTCCAACACAAGTCAACTCGACCAATTACGGTTTGGCCAAACTCCGCCCACACATCCAAGAAACTCCCCCATGCACTGCAGAGACCCATCCTTACTGATCGTCCATGACTGGTTTTTCTCTGTGGTTCGTCTCATTCCAGCATACTGTGGGACATCGAGACGGGGACCCAAAAGACTGTGTATGCCGGACACCAAGGAGACTGCATGTCCCTGGCCGTGTCCCCAGACTTCAATTTCTTCATCTCAGGGGCGTGCGACTTCACGTCCAAGCTGTGGGACATCAGGGAGGGCACGTGCAGACAGACCTTCCCAGGCCATGAGAGCGACGTCAATGCCATCGGGGTGAGGACGAAGAAGCAGGACTCTGAGTGTCCTTCGAGTGCTCCTGTTTTGAGACAATTTCTCTTTTGTTCCACACACACAGTTCTTCCCCAACGGTAACGCCGTGATAACAGGGTCTGATGACACCACCTGCAAACTGTTTGACCTGCGGGCCGACCAGGAGCTCATCACCTACCAGGACTCCAGCGTCATGTGCGGGGTGACCTCCTTGGCCCCGTCTCTGTCTGGGCGATTGATCCTGGCTGGTTACGATGACTTCAACGTCAACATCTGGGACGCCCTCAAAGCTGAGAGAGTGGGTGAGTACAACAGGAAATCCATGAACCAAATTATGAGTTCTATCAGGGGTTCAAACTCAGTTACACAAACTCTGTTAATACTTGTTAAAAGGTTACATCCAATCCAATTAACTCATGAAGCCCCTTTAAAACTCCTCCAGGAGAACAAAGTGTTGTACAATACCATACAGTAAAAACAAGCACTCAACAATAAAAGATAGAAATAATAAAAACAAAGGAAAGACTGATTAAATAAATTTTAAAAAATCAACATCCTAAAATGTAGCAAAAGCCAAAGAATAAAATTGGGTTTTAAATGAAGATTTAAAAGCATCTAATGCAGAGGCCTGTCTAACATTCAAAAGCAAGTTGTTTCACAACTTAGGACCCTTATAGGACCCGCTCGGAGCTTACACATTATATAACAAACCAGTCATAGTGTGCCAGATCAACTCGTTTTGAGGCTGTCTCTTCAAATCCAAATGAGGTGTTTCACACCCCGCTCCCCTCCAGCTTCCAGACCAGTCCATTCTAGTTTGATAGGGGGGTTTACAATTATATAACTGCACAGAACCTTTTTATTTACCAATTAAATAAAAGATGTCAACAAGTGAAGACTTGTCAAGCCTTACATGTTGGAGCCAGAGTCCGACAGAGGAGAACAAAGACCACCAAATTGTAGTTGGTAAGTCCAGACCTTATATATGGCAGCTCCATCACGAAAAGATCATTTAAAAAAGAGAAAATGACAGAATATAGATATCTACACAGCACCAGGAGAGACTAAAATCTAATTTTCTGCACTCCGAGAGGCTCCAAGTACACAACAAATGCACTTATAACAGCTAAAAAATGGGATTTTTCATGATGTCCTCTTACCTTTGGGGCCACATTAAATATTAATGAGGGCCAGATTTGGCCTRCAGGTCTTGAGTTTCCCAAATATGAGTTATATATTTTTTGCTCTTGGATGTTTTTATTCCTCATGTTTGCTGTTTTCCAGGTGTTCTGGCCGGCCACGATAACAGAGTGAGCTGCATCGGTGTGTCCGCAGATGGGATGGCGTGTTGCACGGGATCATGGGACAGCTTCCTCAAAATATGGAACTGAGGCTGTTTCCTCAGCAGCGAGCAGACATAAAGAGCAGACATATGCTTTGCAAAAAAAAGTGAAGATTTGATAATAAAATTGTTAGAGAGAGGAAGGAGGAGCCACATAGGGTGAGAAGAGGGAGTTTTGACCGTGCCAAGTCCTGCCTGCTGGTGGTTGGAGAAGGACTGTAACGCAAAGGTTTTCTCTTCTCACATTATGGGGTTAAAACAAAGAAGTGGGGGATCAAGAAAAGAATATTCCTAAATAGTTAATCTGTGGTTTGAACAGATAAAAGATGCACATTTATTGCAGCAATTAAAAAATAAATCACCCATTAATAACAGTTGCCAAATGGAAAAGGTAGCACACTGGATGAAACAGAACTGCAGGCTGTAGAGACGCAGACTATCTATTTTGTATAAAATATTAGGTTGTGTCATCAATAATCAGAGCGTTCACAATATTTCAGACTAATTTGTTCCTTGCTTTTGTAGATTTCCTAGAAACCTGAACCTTCATTATACTTTTTTGTTTTCTAATTTACTAGAGTTTTAGTTTGCAGATGTTAGTGTTTGTTTTGTATGTGGTTGATGGACGTAGATCAGGATCTGGGATCATAATTGGGCTTAATCCCTCAGTAGTTGGGACTGGAAAGTGCTTAAAGTGACAGATGGGATAGTTAAAAGATCACATATGGGTCACCAAGCGCTTAGAAAAAGATGAGCATTGTCTCAAAGAAAAGACCTCTGCATGAACGTCACATGAACAGAACATTTAAATAGCTGCTTTTCCCCACAGGTGAAACTGAAGGACAGTTTGTGTACATAGAGCAAAAAGAAAACGATGAAATGCATCTTTTCTTAAACTTGATTCACATTGTACAAAGTAAAACATTCATATCTAATAAACAAGTTTCTGCTTTGCTTTTGTCTATTTTATCCAGCTGACTTTTCAAGTACGGAGGAAAATAGTTCAGAGGCCAAAATGCAAAACCAAGTCCAAGTCCCAATTTTTGTCCAGATTTGTGAGAGAAAAAAAAAGAAGTTAAATTCATATTGAATTACAAGTTACCTTTTGCAAATTAATTTTAAATTTAGAAAAACACGACTTAATTTTATAAGCCTTACAACTTTGAGTTATTGCTTAGAGATGCGTTTCCACAATCCAATAAAATAGGTTAATAATGAAAACTCAAAACTTCACTTATTTTACTTTAAAAATCAAAAGAGAATACAAAAAAAAAAAAAGAGTTGATTCTGTTGCACATTCTACACCAAAATAAAAAATTACTGAAAATTTAAAATCGAATTGTCGACTTGAAAGTTGGAGCTGTGTAAGAATGTGAAACTATTGAAAACTATTTCACATTTAAAGTATTACCTTTGGGGCCGCATAAAATGTTAAAGGGCCAGATTTGGCCCACAGACCTGAAGTTTGACAGGTGTGATTTAGAGGTTTTGAAGGTCATATCAACCATTTCCTTGCAGGACTAGTTACATAAAAAGATAAGCAGAAGTCAAGTTAAAGAGTATAGAGTCAAACTTTTATTTAGTTGATAGAAGAAAAGAGTAAATTTTGTGCACATTTAAAATGGAAAAGTTGAACAAAATAAGGTTCACTTGTCGTCAAGTATGTACAGTTTTTACATTTACAAACTGATCACACAAACAGCAGAAAGCCTCAGCATCTGGCAGTTAAAACTCAATATACAAAAAACCCAAACATTTTAAATTTCAGTTTATAATTAACAGCACATTTAAGAAAATGTAAAGGGTGATCGATGCTGAGCACGGACGCTCATCTGTTCTCCTTATCCAGACACACTGCCAGCACTCTGCGGTCCATCTGTCCAAGCCTCTGTTTGTCAAGGTTGGACACTTTCAGATTCATCTGAGGAAAATAAATAAAAATAAATAAATAAATAAATAAATAAATAAATAAATAAATAAAATCAAGGAGCAGGCTTTAAAGATCACAAATGATGTGAGTTTATATGGACTTGAATTCCATGTAGGTGTAATCTCGTACCTGAGAACGCTGGTCTCGAGGAGAGTTGAGGATCTGCAGAGGTGAACGTCCCTCAGAATCTACAGAGAAAGAAGAGTTTGAAGTGAAAATTCTAAACACCTTTTCTTAAAAAAGTAAGTATATATTTTGCCAACCTTTCTGTTTTAGTTTTCCAGATGGTCCCTTGTTTTCATTGGTTGCGTTCTTCACAGCCACACGTAAAGCCAGAGGGGACTTGCCTGCGTTCCCTTGCACCCCTCTGGCTCTCAGCCCCGTGGCGCCAAAGCCTTTTCCCAACCACTGTGGCTTAAACTCCAGCTGACTTGGGCTTTTTGTGTCAAAGGTGGGGCAGCGGATGCCTACATACGTCTTCACCTGCTCCGATGAAGAGCCTGTGGTTTCCTCAGATGGTAGCTTCCCTGCTTCTTGGGGAACTGGAGAGTTCTCCACAGTCTTACGAGGCTCTGGTTCAACTGCGATAGCAGGAAGGGCATATGAATGATCCACACCATTGCTGAGTGGTTCCACATCTGCCGTAGGTTCTGGGGAAGCGGTGTTTTCTTGATGAACCTCGGCAAAGATCTGAGTTGAAGTTGCGCCCTCGTGGCACGTTATCAGACTCATGCTCAGCCTCTTGTGTAGAGGGGACTCTCTCGCTTCCTCTGCCTCCTCCAAACTAATATCAGGTTCAGTTTCTACCTCCACCTCCACCTGCTCCAGAAGCACGAAGGGGCTTGAGTTGCCGATCTGCAGAGGGAGCTGAACAGGGGTGGCCAGGAGGTTAGCGTGTTCGGCCAGCGAGTCAAAATTGTCCGCAGACTGAGGAGTAAGGAGGGGCACAGTGGAAGCCAGCTCTTCATTYCCAAGGACCTCTTCCACAGAATCAGAGCTTTTTGGAGGGTCTTCATGGACTTTCCCTTCAGCCTCGTTGTGGAACAACATGCCCAGGCGTCGAGCAAAAGACCCAACTGTCACTGAGGGGGAAAAAAATAAAATAATAAAAAAGGGGGAAAGTTAGTTTTTATGTTTAGTAAGAAAACCCAAGTAAAACTTTGAACAATATATTTACATCTCATGACTTCTCTCATAGGAGTGCGGGAAATGCCAACCGAGGGAGAGCGTGGATCGTTCACGGCAAGAGGACACTCACTTTTCACCTCAGAGGTTTTAGATTCCTGCTCACAAACCTAAAAACAAACAAAGACATCTCTCTCTTTGTCACCTTCTCCCTCAAAGTTAACATGTCTGGTAGGACATAAAAACGTAAAAAACAAACACACACACACACACACACACACACACACACACACAC